CGTCCTAAGGCGCCTCAGCCTGGGCGCTTCGCTGCGCGAAAGCATGCCCCCTGGGCTGGCCTTCCGGATAGAATGCAGCTCCACACGGTAGCTCGGCCCTTCGCGAGACCTCCTTCGGATGAACCGCATCGGCCCCCTCCGGGTAACTAGTTGGTCCGCCATTCTGACGTCCTCCTTCGTCTCGCTGTTGAATGATGTCCTCCAAGCCTTCTTGGACTCCGCCGCGCGATTCCTCGCGCTCTGCCATCACTTCGCTGTTACTGGCGACCGATATGCCAGCAACGTCGGATCGCCTTATCTACTTTCCTATTGAGCTGGGTCACGAATACAAAGTAAATCCCTATTTAAACAATTCAAACTCCCCAACAGACGACGTTCTGACTTGCGCTTGCTTGCATGGTTGACTGGCGAACTTGCGTTGCCTGGATTCAGCGCTTTGTTCCCAGCTAAACTTTGTAACGAACTACCGTATCAGTCCCTGTCCTCTGGCCCATTCTGGTCTGCGCCTTCCCGCGCCGCACTTGCCGTACTGCACTACAGGACGAGCACTTAATCAACATGCATTGATGTCATCGACATGTCGTACTTGTCCAGCAACGTCAACTCCGTACGACACACGCATTTTGCGCTCAATCGGGAGGTACGTGCAGCAGACAGAGCGGGCAGATGAGCGAGGCCGGCAAGGAGACGTTTCGGCCATTAGCTGCTGAATTGGCGATGGCTGAAGGGAGGGGAGGGTAGGGGGTAGGTTTCGCGTTCATTTGGTGTTCGCGGTTGTGACCTCCTCTTGGGAGCTCTTCGTTGTTACCGTACCGCTATGGCCGATTGGTGACACCGGATTGGTGAAAATCACCAATCCAGTAGCAAAGGATAATCCGGGCTGGGATTGAGCGGCGGCCATCACCAATCCCTGTACGTAAAGGCTTTGGCATGGACAGTCCAATTTTGGCTGGAGGAATGAACTTGTACGGTTGGAACATTATTTATCCTTAACTTTCAGGACCACGAACATGTTTCATTCCGAATTCGGAATATATTCCGCAAAAAAATAACGCTGGGGGCAGTCCGGTTGGCCGCTTTCACCAATTCGGTGGCAATGGGAAAAAGTGGACGGGGTAACACCAAACCGTATCACCAATTCCGGTGTTGGAAAGATTAATTCTAGAAGCGTTTTTTACTTTCACCAATCCAGAAATCACCAATCGGCCATAGCGGTACGGTATCCCTGCAGCGATCAGCCTTGCACGCGATCAAAGCAACAGGGCACATCAGTAGCATCATTAGATTGACAATAATCTTGTTTTGTTGAGGGTGGCGCTGCTGGTTTCAAGTCCATCATCCAATCCATGCTGCCGCCGCAGATACTGGACGATCTTTGGGAGGTGGTGGTGATGGGCCGGCGGGCCGCGCAGCGCACATCCCGACTGGACCACGTGACCGGTAACGTGTACAGCCTAGCTGTAGCACCAGCCTTTATCAGCACACGTCAGCTTTAGCACGTACACCGACCTTCAACGATCAGGCCCATACGTCAACGACAACTAATTAATAGCAATATCATCAACAGCATAGTCATTTTTACGGCACACACATGCACGGCACACATATGTATGTGACAGCGGAGATCGGGGCAGACGACTGAACACGCATTCGTTGGTAGCTGAGAGGGTCCACGGCTTGAAAGAGTGAGACAGAAGTTAGTAGCAGCTACTGCGATGAACTGTATTTACAGGGCATTGTAGCTGAGATGTGGTAGCTGTAGCCAACGCGCATCATCGCCTTTGCCGGCGCCGGCTTAACGCACCAAAACCGGCTATATGCAGCTTGGTGCTATTGTCGCCGCTTCCGGTGGGGAGGAGGAGCATCTCAATGACCAACATGGCTGGATGCGCTTAGTATTGTTGCGCTAGGAGCTCATACATATATCCCTGTCTTGTGGCCCAAAGGCAGACGCTGTCACGAAATAGATAGCTTACCTTGGCATGCTGTTAAGGTCATTGGAAAACAGGTGGCTACCGCAGGGCTTGTGCCATGAACATATTCTGGTGCGGCTCGCATCGTTGCGTTGGGGGACGGGCGGGTGGGAAGGCTAACAACTGCACTGAAAAGGAACTACATTCACGTCGCACAGCCTGAGCACGGAAATACGAAGCCTCTGTTTTTCTGCTCCTTGCATCCTGCCTTCCCTACCTTCGTTTACGGTGGTTCCGCAGATAGGTCGCTGGATGGTTCCGTTGCACCCAAAGGAAGGCAGGATTTTTTTTATTAACTAACATCAAATTACAACGCGCATGATTTTTTTGGCTCTATTTAACCTTAAGACGCCCTGTTGGATGCGCTTTCATTCATGAATCAGATATGTCTTGCTATGTTATATATTTGTGATTTCCGGCAGTGAGTGCGCGGCGCTGATGAGGAAAGGAAAGGTTCGGAGCAGGAGGAATGGTGCAGCGGACCAGAAAATGGAGATTTCGAGGATGCTGCTGTGAAATCGGCGATTTTTCTACCATGAGCTACGGCAGAAGCGTGGATGGTGGTTGGTTTGACGGTTGGTTTTCTTGGGTCTGGTTTAGGCTGTTGTTTTGGGCCTGCTGACCTCAGACGCTCGGTCCTTACGGTTCCAGATTCCAAATGCCTCTGGCAATATGGATGGAGGTCCTGCAATTGGAAAACTGAAACCCACACATGGTTTGCGGTGGATGTCTGCTCAGCCATAGCAAACCAGTTGAGCGGGTAGGTCGCCTGGCCACTGTCATGGAGCAAGCCACCCTGGACCAGTGCGCACATCATTGCGAACCGGGGTCCCCCACGTGAGTTATGTAAGGTCCAGTACACCAACTGGCGGAAAGGAGCGGAGCTCTCATTCCTGTGCTGCTGTTAGATACCATACCTAGCCTTCCTCAGGTTTCTGAGGACGTAATTATGTCAACCCAAGACCCGCGGGACATGTGTGACAGATGTCATCTTTTGTGTCCCATCGGCAGGGCCTTTTGTCCTTGATGACGCACTTCCACTTGACAAGAAAGAAGCTCGTTGGTTGCGATAGGCCTTTGATAGGATATCGGATTGCAGCCAAGCAAGGCTTAGCTGACCTTCCTGGGCACATTGGCGCGGTCCGTCCTCTTAGGAAGCCAGGAAGGGGGAATTTGAGGCTTACTTCCGGAATGTAAGCTCCCGAAACCTCTGCAATCAGCTCCTAGAACGCTGCACCAATACACAACCCATTAGTCGTCGGACACCTCGACAAGGAGAGGGTAGCCCTGCTTGCTGGCTTATCATCCAAATATTGGTGAGGAGGCCTAGGCGCCAGAAGGGATTTCGGCCTTTCCGCAAACAAATTGACACCGCCCGCATCGTGAAATCGAGCGGGCGTGAATCAATCATCACAGATTATTATCGATGCCTACTTTCGTTGCTGCAGGAAGCTATTAGCTAGGTGCGGCAAGTTGAGGATTTTGCAGCTAGTTACAGACCACGGACGATGCGCGGTGCGGCATGCGGGAAAAAATTTGCAAGACAGATGTCGGTTTCTGAATCAGCAGCCCCGGGGTCCGCCAATCCTCAGCGCGATGAAGGAAGCGCTGTGCGCAAGCTCCTGCACATCGCCACCCGTATCGTTCTGGCGGGAACTGCTGCCACTTCAGCGCCATCCGCTGCCGCTGCCGCCGCCGCCGCCGCGCCGCAATTATCCTCTTCCGCGGCGGCGGCTGCGCTAACTAGGCCCACGCACGAAGAAATTGCAGAAGCGTGCGGTGCGTTGGGGATCTGTACCAATCACACTCTGCTCTGGGCGCGCCCCGGCCCAGCCCTCAAGATGGTAAAGCTGCTGGCAGTTGCGCTGCGCCATATTGAGGCTGCGAACTCACCCCCAGCAAAGGTGGGGGGCCGCATGGTGGATCTTGCAGTGGCTGTGGTGGAAAGCTTTCGACGCGCTTCCTCTGCCCTCGTTGGAGACAGAGACAGCAGCAGCGGCAAGGGGTTGCACGCCATGGTCCGGGCTGCGCGGTGCATCCTGCGATCTGGAGCCCTGGACTGCATCGCTCGTCTTTTGGCTTCGGCGACGACTGGAGAAGACCCTGTACTCATTAATGCTACGGTCTCCATCACCGCGACCCTTCACAACACGGTGGCGGCGGCGGCGGCATCACACATGTCAGCGTTAGCGTTAGCAGCAAAATTCACCACAGCAGGAACAGCAGCAGCAGCAGCTTTCAAGCAAAATGGCAGCAGCAGCAGCAGCAGCAGCGGAAGTTGCAACAGCAGCAGCAACAGCAGCAGCGACAGGGACATGAACAGGGGCTTTTTTAACTCCTTTCATGTTGAGTTCATGACTGCGGTACGGGACTCGCTCCTGGTGGAGCACCTGGCGAAGCAAGTGCTTCGAAGCGACGGCTCTCTGCATGAGCTCGGGGCGCAGCTGCTGCTTGGCGTTGGATATTTCAATCGGCTGTGCATCCTGTGGCGCGAGGAACACGTCCTAGGATCCACAGGGCGCTGCCAGCAGTTTCTTGCAACGGCAGCGGCGGTGACAGTGATGAGCGAGCTCGACGGAGGGCCCACATATGGTCTGCCGCAGCATGTGGCGGCGGGGGTGATCAAGGCCCTTCATTCTTGCAGTCACAAGGAGATCCTCCTGACCTGGCTCGGCACTTACATGCCTCGTTCCGGCCAGATGCCCAGGTTCGTCATCAGTAGGCCAGTGTTATACAAGTTGTACATGAGAGCCAGCTGCGTCGGCATTGATAATGCCCAGCGTGCCACCAAGAAACATCCACCAGCAGGCGCTAGCGGCGGCGGCGGCGGCGGCGGCAGTGCGGATATTTCAGCCGGCGGCCCCTCGGGCGACGATGGCGCGGCAAGTAGCGGAGAAAGAGAGCCGTCGGCGGTTCAAGAGAGAGCCGGATGGTGCGAGGTTGCGCTGGTCGCCCTGACAGCAGCGAACAGCAGCAGGCGGTCCCCCCGTTACCGCGGCCGAAGCGCTCAAGGCGAGTGGTTTACCAGCGGCTCTACGTCGCGACCGCTTGGCTGGTGGCATCAGGTGGTGAGGGCCCTGCAGTTGGCGGCCCTGGCGGCTCCAGGGCGGCCCCGGCGTGACGACGGCATGGTTATGGCCTCTGTCAGCCTGGTGAAGTGTGTGATACTGGAGGAGGAGGAGGAAGTGGTGGCGGAGCTGCCCGGTGAGCTCCCTCATCTGGATAACGAAGTTCTCTGGAGGGAGGGGGAGGGAGGGGGGGGAG